TTCCTAATTTCCATTTGTATTCATTATTTTAGCCTTTGAATTATTTAGAAGTATATTGAGTACTTTCCAAACACATGAAGGTTTTAATATTATCTCTTTTATTATTGATTTCTAATCTAACTGCACTGTTGTCAGAAAATGTACTCCGCATAATTTTAGTTTTTGATATTTGTTGAGATTTCTTTACACTCATCGTTTTGTTAATTAGTTTGGCATTTGATGTGAATTTTGGATTTGCTGAGTATAAGTTATGTAAATTAGCTCGTTTATTGATTACATTGTTCAGATCTACTATATCCATATTGAATTTTTGTCTGCTTAGTCTATCAGTTACGAAGAGACATTTGTTAAAATCTCCCTATAATAATGAATTTGACCATTTTCCTTTTAGTCGTGTCATTTTGCTTTACATATTTTGAAACTACATTATTAAGTGCAACAAATTTAGAATTGTAATGTTTTAGAAAGATCGACCCATTTATCGTAATGAAATTCCCCTTGTTTATTGCCAGTAATGTTTTTTTCCATTACTGGAAAAAATGTAAAAATGTAAAAATGGAAAAAAAATTTCCATTACTTTCCATTGTATAGTCCAATTTGTCTGATAAATATATAAAATGTACATAGTTATACTATGTACTTTTTAAAGTACGTAGTATGGCCTTTTTAAAAATATTTTTTTATATTACATATTTTTCATTCTGTGATTTTAGCTTTTTTGTGTTTTTGTATTTAGGTGTGTCTTTTTAAATCAACATTGAGTTGCATGTACTTTTTTAAATCTAGTCTGAAAATCTTTGTTTTTGAATGCTCACTCATTTTCATATTATTATTATATTAGGGGGTTTAAAGTTATCCTCTTATTCTTTGTTTTCCATTTGTCAATTCATTCTACATGTCTTTTCCTCTACTTTGAGCAGTTCTTTTTTTTTTTTTTTTTTTTGTGAGGAGGACCAGCCCTGAGCTAACATCCAATGCCAATCCTCCTCTTTTTTGCTGAGGAAGACTGGCCCTG